CTAAGTCTGTTGCCAAAAGTAAAGAGATGTGCTCAGAAAACAGATACTTCATTTTGGAATTATCCATCATAATGCTGTTCAATCCATTTTACTTCAGAAAGATTTGATTTTTTTTTTGGCTGTTTATTTTTATTTATGGTTTTATTATTTTTTCATTTTTTATTACTAGGTGTTTTGTTTTGTTTTTTTTGAGATGGAGTCTCACTCTGTCACCCAGGATGCAGTGCAATGGTGCAATGTTGGTTTACTGTAACCTCCACTTCCCAAGTTCTAGCAATTCTCCTGCCTCAGCCTCCCAATTAGCTGGGATTACAGGCTTCTGCCACCATACCTGGCTAATTTTTGCACTTTTAATTTTTTCTTTTTTTTTTTGGAGATAGAGTCTCATTTTGTTGCCCAAGCTGGACTACAGTGGCACAATCTCAGCTCACTGCAGCCTCCGCCTCTGCCTCCCTAGTTCAAGTGATTCTCCTGCCTCAGCCTCTTGAGTAGCTGGGATTACAGGCACATGCCACCATAGTCGGCTAGTTTTTGTATTTTAGTAGAGACCAGGTTTCACCAAGTTGGCCAGGCTGGTCTTGAACTCCAGACCTTGTTATCTGCCCACCTCGGCCTCCCAAAATGCTGAGATTATAGGCGTGAGCCACGGAGCCCGGTCTAGTTTTTGCACTTTTTAGTAGAGACTAGATTTCACTATGTTAGCCAGACTGGTCTTGAACTCGTAACCTCAAGTGATCTGCCTGTCTTGGCCTCCCAAATTGCTGGGATTGCAGGCGTGCGCACCAGGCCAGTTTTTTATTATTAGTTTTTAATGAGATGGAGTCTCATAAGATGCTTCCCTGGTTGGAGTGCTATGGCTCAATCACAGCTCACGGCAGCCTTGACCTCCTGGGCTCAAGCCTCAGCCTCCCAAGTAACTGGGACTACAGGCTCTTGCCACCATACCTGGCCAGTTTTTAAAAAATTATTATTGACCAGGCACCGTGGCTTACATCCGTAAACCCAGCACTTTGGGATGCTGAGGCAGGCAGATCACAAGGTCAGGAGTTCAAGATGAGCCTGGACAATATGGTGAAACCGCATGTTGTAGAAACCCATCTCTACTAAAAATAAAAAAAATTAGCTGGGCGTGGTGGCATGCACCTGTAATCCCAGGTACTCTGGAGGCTGAGGCAGGAGAATCACTTAAACTCAGGAGGCAGAAGTTGCAGTGAGCAGAGATCAAGCCATTGCACTCCAGCCTGGGGAACAGAGCCAGACTCCAACTCAAAAAAAAAAATTATTATCTGTAGAGACAAGTTCACGCTATGTTGCTCAGGCCTCCTGGGCTCAAGCCCAGGCTTTGGCCTCCCAAACTTTGGATTACAGTCCTGAGCCACCTCACCTGGCCTACTGTTTATTTTTAATTCATTTAGCAGAAACCATAAATGAGCTAGTTGTTTTAATTAAATCTCTTTAATTATATTTGCTCTGTCCGCCAGAATTAACAAAATTAAATCCAAAAGGACAAGAGTTGCCGGGCATGGTGGCTCACGCCTGTAATCCCAGCACTTTGGGAGGCCAAGGTGGACAGATTATGAAATCAGGAGTTCGAGACCAACCGGGCCAACATGGTTAAACCCCGTCTCTACTAAAAATACAAAAAAACTAGCCAGGCGTTGTGGCAGGTGCCTGTAATCCCAGCTACTCAGGAGGCTAAGGCAGGAGAATCGCTTGAACCCAGTAAGTGGAGGTTGCAGTGAGCCAAGACCGTGCCACTGCACAATAGCCTGGGCAACAGAGCGAGACTCCATCTCAAGAAAAAAAGAAAAGATGGCCAAGAACACTGTGTTACTACATGTTGAAACATTCCTGGCCAGGCTGGGCGTGGTGGCTCACACCTGTAATCCCAGAATTTTGGGAGGCCGAGGCAGGTGGATCACCTGAGGTCAGGAGTTTGAGACCAGCCTGACCAACATGGAGAAACCCCATCTCTGAAAGGCCAAGTTCAATCACCTACCAAGAAGGGTTAAGAGGGCATCAGCTTTACGTGCTTGCTTGCTATTGCTATCTCTCTAATTCTCCTTTTTTTTTTGAGACTGAGTTTAAATCAATCTCATTATTGATTTAAAGCTCTCTTTGCCTATCTAAACCAAACTACACTTATGTCAAGAAGAGATTGGTTGGCATTTTCGATCCTTCTCCCACTCTAGTGCCCTGGAAGGCAGGTGGAGGCCAGGCCATGCCCTGGTACACCTTGTCCACTTCTCTGTTTTGGAAAAGAGGTCAGGGAGAGAGGTGACGCAGTCAGGATTCTCGAATAGCTAGTCGCCTGTTGTTTGAGAGGCATCCCTGGTGTCTACCACTCTGGTTCAGTTTTGTTCTCCTACTGATGGTGGCCTCTGATAAAGCCATAGCTTCTACCCAGATGGGGGTAGTCTCCTTGTGCATACCATGTAGTTTTGCCCCAGCCACCTACTTGGTGTTAGGTTACTGTAGCACAATCATGCTGGAAAGGAGGCTGGAAACAATAAAACAATTTTTGTTGTGTTGTTATTGCTCTGAAGAGCAGGGACAATTTGCAGTCAGAACACTCTGGTTTCCCACATTGCCTGCTGAATAACCTTTGTGTAACAGAGCTCAGAGTGGCAGAAGCAGGTTAGAGACAAGAAGGCCAGAAGCTAAAAGGCCTTCTGGATTTTAAGTGTTTTACAGAGAGCAATACCCAAAATAATATTGGTTGGATAGCTACTAAAACTTGATACTTAGTATACATTATACCTTCTCCATGTAATAAGGATTATAGCTCCATTTTACTGATAAGGAAAGTGAAAGTAAGAGGAGTTAAGTCAATTGCCAAGGTCGGAGAACAGTAAGAAGCCAACATAGGATTTGAACCCAGACTTTCTAAGTCCAGTTCTCTTTCAATCTCTCCCAAAAAGGATGGCAGGGAGGCAGAAGCACCCCGCTGATTTTCCTATTAATTTTTTTTAAACAATGCATTCCCCAAAGCCCCACCCACATACATGTCTGCATGTCTGAGTATATCTCATTGACTTCACCAATGTCACCTGGCCATGTTTACTGCAAGGGACATTGGGAAATCATGTTTTCTTTTCTTTTTCTTTTCTTTCCTTTCTCCCTTCCTTCCTTCCTTTCTTTCTTTCTTCTTCTTTTTTTTTTTTTTTTTTTTTTTTTTTT